GGGAAGAGTGGTGATGATAGCGCGCAACAAATGTCGAGCGTTTTCGCCGGATGGGCGTACGTTTGAGGGGTCATTTAGATTTGCCATTGAGAAAACGCACCACTGGATCACCCTGTACTTGAAAAGGGGCAGTGTGCTCGCATGCCCCTTCCCCCCTTCCACCCCCCCCCCCCCTTCCCCCTTCATCGGGGTGGGGTGGGGATTTTCGCCCCCCCCGCCCCCCCCTCCCCTCCCCCCCCCCACACCCCCAACCTCCCCCCCTTAACGGGGGGGGGTCCAACCCCCCCCTTTCCCGCTCCCGTTGAAGGGGGGGGGCGGGTCAAGACCCCCCTCCCTCCTCCCCCCCTTGGCGCTGGAAGGGAGGGGGGGGGGGTCGAACCCCCCCTCCACTCCATTGCGCCGAACAATGGGCCGGGGAGGGGACCTCTCCCGCACGGGGGGGTGTCTGGCCTCGGGGTCGTGAATAGTGAGTAGAGAGTAGTGAGCAGTGAGTAGTGAATAGTGAGTAGTGAGCAGGTCGTAGCAAGTAGTGAGGAGTGAATAGTGACTAGTGAGTGGTAAGTAGTGAGTAGTGCGCACTGAGCAGTGAGTAGTGGGCAGTGGGGAGTGGGTCATGAGAAAGTAGCGAGTAGGGAGCAGCGAGTAGTGAACAGTGAGTAGCGAATAGGGCAGTTGGAGTAGTGACTAGTGAGTAAACAGTAGTGAGTAGTGAGTAGGGAGTAGCGAGTAGCGAGTAGGGAATAACGAATAGTGAGTAGTGAGTAGTGAGTAGGGAGTAGGGAGTAGTGAGTAGTGAGAAGTGAGAAGTGGGTAGTGAGTAGTGAGTAGTGGGTAGTGTGTAGGGAGTAGCGAGTAGAGAGTAGTGAGTAGTGAGAAGTGAGTCGCGAGTAGTGAGTAGCGACTCGTGACTAGTGACTGGTGAGTAGGGAGTAGGGTGTAGGGAGTAGTGAGTAGTGTGTGGTGAGTAGTGGGTCGTGGGTAGTGAATATTGCGTATCGGGTAGCGAGTAGCGAGTAGGGGGTAGCAAATAGTGAGTAGTGAGTAGTGAAACGTGAGTACTGTGTAAGGAGTAGGGACTAGCGAGTAGCGAGCAGCGGATTGGGAGTAGTGAGTTGTGGGCAGTGAATAGTGAATAGGGAATTGGGAGTATTCAGTAGTGAGTAGTTGATAGTGTTTAGTGTGTATTGAGTAGTGATTCGTGGGTAGTGAGTAGTGGGTAGTGACTAGTGTTCAGTGAGTAGTGAGTATTGGGTAGGGGGTGGTGAATCGTGAGTAGTGAGTTGGGAGTAGTGAGTCGTGAGTAGTGAATAGTGGGGTCGTGGGTAGTGAGTAGTGAATAATGAGTACTGGGTGCTGTTTGGGGCTAGGGTTAGGGTTTGGGGTTCGGGTTGCGGGTGGACGGGGTGGTAATGTTAGGGGTGGCCCGTGGCGAAAGGGGGGTAGGGGAGGGCCGAACTTGGCGGCCAAAGGGGGGGAGGGGGGGTGGGGTCGGACCCCCCCCAGCCTTTTGAAACGGGGGGAAGGGGGGGGGGGTCCCGACGACGGGCGGGAAAAGGGGGGGAGGGGGGGGGTCCCGGACGACGGACCGGGAAAGGGGGGGAGGGGGGGGGTCCCCGACGACGGATCGGGGAAGGGGGGGGGTCTTAACCCCCCGCCACTTGGGGACATCCAGCGGCGCGCCCTTCGTCAGTGAACAGCAAACCAGAAGTGACCTTGCGAACAGGCGAAGCAAAGCGAGTTTTCAAATGTTTAGGAAATCTCTGGGACCGTGCTCGTATCGCACAACGTAGTAAGGTTGAGCTATTCCGTGCAGCTATACTTACCGTCGGTATCGCTGCGGCCGTAATAGACTGGACAGTTTTCGATTGACCTGCTTGCGATAGATTCTGAAAGTTCCCCCTGCGTGCGTGCCAAGAGTATCAAAATCTGATGCGGGGAGCGCATTCGCCCACCGAACGACAATTCTTGCGAGAAGCGCGGGAAATTGTCGAAACCAATTGCCCTAGCCCGCCCAGCCAGCCCAACCCATCCACCCCAACCAGCCCAACCAGCCCAACCAGCCACCCCGCTACCCAGCCCACCCAGCCCAACCAGCCCAACCAGCCACCCCGCCACCCTGCCAACCCGCCCACCCCCGCCTCCTGACTCTGTCACCGCCGAGAGGGAGGGGGAAGTGTTTCTTACCAGAGAAAGCTCGAAAAGTAGCCCTCCTGGGGACAGGCGGGACAGTGGGGAGGGGGCAAATCGCGCCGCAGCACTATGCAGGACCGGGATTCCGGCGGGGGGACCGCAAAGTCGGTTTTGTACCTCAAGTGTGACGCTGTCGTCATTTATCACCCTTCACGGCGCCCTCTTTCTCAACGGGAAGGCTCCCACCCTTGAAACTGTCGTCAATTTTGAGCCCCCCCGCGTGGCTCCTTAGAGAGCCGCCGGCAGGCTCCAGGAGGCCGCAGGAGGCCGGGCGCTCCAGGAGATTTCAGGACGCCTCAGGAGGCCTTGGGAATCCCCAGGGGGGTCTAGGACGCTCCAGGAAGTCCCACGATGCCCCGCGAGGTCCCACGAGGCTTCATTCACGATGTCCCAGGGCGCTCCGGGCGTATCCTGAACGATCCAGACAGTCGAAGAACGCTCGGGACGCCCCTGGAGGGTTTGGGATCCCTGGAGAGTCCTGGAGGTCTCAGGAGGCCACAGGAAAGCTCCGGACGCCGCTGTCCTAGAAGGCCATCGGGGTTCCTAGAAGGCCCCCTGAGGTCCCATTGGCCATCACGCCGGACGTAGGGATGGGGAGGAGGCCCAGGCTGCCCCGCCAGGTCCACGAGGCCCCAAGGGTCTCCAGGACTGCCCAGCGCGTTCCAGGAGATCCCAGGATGTTCCAGGAGATTCCAGGAGGCCCCAGGACGCTCCAGGAGGATCCCAGGAACGATTCATACAGTCCCAGAAAGCGTAGGACGCCCCCGGAAGGGGTTAGGGTACCCCAGGAGAGCCCTGGGGGTCTCCAAAGGTTCAGACGTTCGGCGGTAGCCGACACATGAGCCGACACATGATTACCTTAGACAATAACCACGACATCATACGGAACAAACAATCCGAACCTACTTTACACAACAGAGTGGAGAAGAGGATACATATGGCTTCAGGAGACACGTGCGACGTGAAGGGGAACAATGAAACGGTGCAGTCAACATACATAATGTGCACGCCTGGGGACTGGAGCGCGCCTACTGGCCACAGAGTGACGCCCGGACAAGTAAACTTGATCCAATTGTCTTCTACCCCCGTGAGGGACGTTACAGGGTACACGGAGATCACACACCTCCCCGATGGTCACATCCTGCGTGACCTCGTTTGTGAGCCTGGAGGGAACACACCAAGGCTGTGGTGCCGCAAGCGCAGACGTGGACGCCCGAGGCTACAGTAGGCGGCGTGTGTTTCCCCGTACATTTTCTGGTTGTGTCTGATTTTCGTATGTGTGGGCCGAAGAGCTATGTACTGCCTATGCGCTGTTTGTGCGCCTGGTTGAATTGTTTGCTAGTCAGTCGCGCTGCCCGGCAGGCAGTGCTTTGTTACATCGCCGTAGCTGAAGGCAACGACATCAAGGGGTTCCAACAGAAACGCGCGGGTGCCTTCCAGCGAGCGCGCTTGGCAACCGTAGCCATGATCATAACCAACCCAGGTCAAAAACAAGTTGGCATTGCTTCTGGTCATCCCTCCTTCCCGTCTTAGTGCCTTGTTTCTGTTTCCCCCTTCCTCCTTGAGCGTGCCGCCGGTTTGCGCCCATAGAAAGAGGACGTGGGGAAGGAGGAGGACGAGGAGGACGAGGACGACGAGAAGTGGGCATTCGAGGGCTCCTGGGCCACGCCGCTGAAGGCAACGCCGCCTCCTGGTACGACTGGGCCGTGCCATCGCCCTTCCTTCTGCCAGGGAGCCCGTGGACAATGGTAAAGCCCCCTGGGCCCCCCTTGGAGCTCTCCTGGCCCCCCCCCGCCTCAGCGCGTCGTATTCTCTCCTCCTTCTCTTCCGCCTCCTCGTGTCGTATTCCTCGCTGGACAGGCGTGTCTCCTCTGCTCGCTGTGGCGCAGTGCTTGATGTGCTCATTGTGTGCAGTGTTCGCGGATAGTGATGTCATCGTCGCCTGACCCACCGGATGCCTCACGAAAATTTCCTTCCCTCCTGCCCCTCCTCCCTCATCCCTCCTCCTCCCTCCTTTCGCCCTCTCATCTTTTTGCCGCTATTTGTTCCATCGAACTCACAGCCACTAGGGAGCACAGCACACCGCTGACGCCTCGGGCCGACGACGACGACCTCCCGGAGGAGGTTCCCAGAGACCTTCATGAGGTTCCCTGCGCGCCTCCGGAGACCTCGTGGCGGCCCCGAGAGAGCAGCCTGCGGTCAGAAGCGCTGATATCCTCGATGCTCTGCTCTTCGGCCCTCGGCCCTCGACCCACCCCTGGGACCATGTCGGCCGCTTCTCCCGGGGGCCAGTGCTCCGCCCCGGATGGCTTCCTGATGGCCAGAGCTCGAAGCGCTCCCCTTGGGGCTCGCAGCAGAGGGGGATCGCCGGCATTGAGAAAAGCATCGGCGCCAGAGGTCTGCGATCCCCGTCCTCCCCCTTGCTCCCGCCTCCGTGCGCAAGCGGCGTCTACGCAGCACTGGTGTGAAACAGCACCACCATGCCTGAACAGGGTCATACTGGGCCCTGGCATGGTGCACACGCCCTCCTGGCCGACTCGCGCGCTGCCCCCACGAAGCGCCAGCATGGTCTGTACGCTATCCTGCGGCCCAGGATGGCCCTTGCCAGGCACTGTGGTAATATATGCCAGAAATCATACGATGTTTGTCTTTCAGCCCAAGGACCCTCTGCCTGGGGGCAGTTTTTTATCATCACGGGGAATTCTTTGCTGAAGTCAGGGAGGAGACCGCCATGACTGCAAAACATCAGGTCTTCGGAGGTCTGGGTAGATGTCTTCTGCGAATCCCTGGCGCTGCACACGGGGCGGCCC